CAATGCCTGCAGGGGGCCGCCGGGAGCAGTGAGCGAGCCCTGGGAGAGGCCGAGTCGAGGCTGCGTGGGCCCGCAGAGGCCGGGAGGGAGGAGCGGGGACCGGAGAGGCGACCTGAGGAAGTCTGGCAGCTGGAGAGGCCGAGGAGAGGCAGGAGCTGGGCCGGCGGAAGCCGATCAAGGACGAGCACGGCTCGGGGCAGGGGCCGCCGGGAGCAGGAGCGAGCTCCTGGAGAGGTCGAGTCGAGGCCAGCCTGGGTCTGCAGAGTCCGCCGAGGAGGAGCTGGGCCTGGAGAGGCTGTCTGAAGGAAGTCTGGGGCATGGAGACGCTGAGGGCAGGAGCCGGGCCCGGGAGGTGCCACCGTGGGGCTCAAGCCAGGATTTGGGGCCTACAAAGGCCGCGGAGAGGGAGCTGGGCCGAGCCGAGTCCAAAGAGGTTGTCGTGAGGCCGAGACGGGGCCTGCGGCGCAGCAGGAGCAGAACGAAAGCTGGGCCTGGACACGAGGCCGGGAGGCTTAACCGCCTGGAGAGGCTGATTGAGAGGTTCGGGCCTGAGAGGCCGCCGAAAGGCAAAGGCTGGGCCTGGAGAGGCCGTTCCCTGTGACGAATGAGTTGGGCCTAATGAGGCCACTGGGAGTCAGGAGGAGAGCATGGGCGGAGCTGGCCAAAGGCAAGAGGGAGCCCTCGGCCTGGGAGGCCGCAGTCAGGCGAGCTGGGCGGAGCCAGTCCCCAGAGGCAGGAGGCTGGAGCTGTGGCAGGCACTCTAGGAATCAAACAACAACGTGAGTAAATTATTCAAATGAGGAGGTCAAAACAGAGGCTGATCAATAAATTGAGACAAGAATGCACAACTGGATGACGTCCATGAAAACAAAGCAAAATGACACTTGAAAGCATGATCAGCCCTGAGAGTCACCAAAACTGTTTCGCCCAGGATCAAACACAAACGAGAGATACCGATTTGCTCCCAAGATCGCCTGAGGCCTGAGTAACGCCGCTACCGATATGATAACGATCAAATGTAATGAAAACGAGGCTGCTGTCCTGAGAAATGACCTATGATAACCAAAACCATATCTTCAAAACTACATCTTCCTGACTCAACTATTCAAACCAACGATGTTCATCTGTCTACATGATGGTATGAGCTGCCTTAAGCAAGAGGTCGCCTGGGGAGCCAGGATAGGCGAGAGCTGGGGCGTGGAGCAGTCTACTGTGAGGCAGAGGCTGGGCTCCGTGCAGGCTCGCGAGGCAGGAGGCTGTGCCTGGCGAGGCCGACTGGAGGTCAAGTCCTGGGCCTGAGGAGGTCACCCAGAGGCGTGACCGGGGCTGGGCCTAGAGGCCAGTGGCAGGCCGGAGGGATGGGCCTGGAGAGGCTGTCTGAAGGAAGTCTGGGGCATGAGACGCGTTGAGGGCAGGAGCCGGGCCCGAGAGGCCACCGTGGGGCCCGGGCCAGGACGCTGGGGCCTAAGCAAAGGCCGCGCGGAGAGGGAGTCAGTCAGGAGCGAGTCCAAAGAGGTTGGTCAGGAGGCCGAGACGCCTGCGGCCGCAGCAGGAGCAGAACGAGCTGGGCCTGGACACGAGGCCGGGAGGTGCCGCAACTGGGCCTGGAGAGGCCGGACTGAGGAGGTGTCTGGGCCTGGAGAGGCGCCGAAAGCAAGGCTGGGCTCTGGAGGAGGCTGCTCTCTGGGTGATTTAATGAGTTGGGCTCTAATGAGGCCACTGGGAGTCAGGGAGGAGAGTATGGCGGAGCTGCCGAAAGGCAAGAGGAGCTCTGGCCTGGGGAGGCCGCAGAGCCAGGCGCAGAGCTGGGCGTGGACAGCCCACTGTGAGGCAGAGGTTGGCCCGTGCAGGTCGCGAGGCAGGAGGCTGGGCTCAAGCAGCCGACCGAGGTCAAGTCCTGGGCCTGAGGAGGTCACCCAGAGGCGTGATCGGGGCTGGGCCTCCAGAGGCCAGTGGCAGGCCGGAGGAGCGGGCCTGGAGAGGCTGACCTGAGGAAGTCTGGCAGCTGGAGAGGGCGTGAGGCAGGCTGGCCGGGCGGAGGCCGACTCGCACGAGCACACCTGCAGGCCGCCGGAGCAGGAGCGAGCCCTGGAGAGGCCGAAGCCGAGGCCAGCGTGGCCTGCAGAGGCCGGGAGAGGAGCGGGACCGAGAGGCTGACCTGGAGGAAGTCTGGCAGCTGGAGAGGCCGAGGAGGCAGGAGCTGGGCCGGCGGAAGCCGAGACGGGCGCATTTAGCACTGACTCGGCAGGGGCCGAGCAGGAGCGAGCCCTGGAGAGGCCGAGCCGAGGCCAGCCTGGGTCTGCAGAGTCCGGCCGGGAGGAGGAGCTGGGCCTGGAGAGTTGTCTGAAGGAAGTCTGGGCATGAGACGCTACAGGAGGGTGAGCCACCTCGAGAGGCCACCGTGGGGCCCGGCTTCAGGACGCTTAGCCTGCAGGCCGGCGGAGAGGAGCTGGGCCGAGCCGAGTCCAAAGAGGTTGTCGTGAGGCCGGAGAGCTGCCTGCGCCGCAGCAGAACGAGCTGGGCCTGGACACCAGGCCGGAGAGCCGCAACTGGGCCTGGAGAGGCCGGACTGAGGAGGCTCGGCCTGGAGAGGCCGCGAAAGGCAAAGGCTGGGCCTGGAGAGGCCGCTCCCGTGATTTAATGAGTTGGGCCTAATGAGGCCACTGGGAGTCAGGAGGAGAGCATGGCGGAGCTGCCAAAAGGCAAGAGGAGCCTGGCCTGGGAGGCCGCAGTCAGGCGAGAGCTGGGCGTGACAGTCCATCGTGAGGCAGAGGCCTGCAGGCCTCGCGAGGCAGGAGGCTGGGCCTGGCGAGGCCGACCGGAGGTCAAGTCCTGGGCCTGAGGAGGTCACCCAGAGGCGTGATCGGGCCTCCAGAGGCCAGTGCGGCAGGCCGGAGGAGCTGGCCTGGAGAGGCTGACCTGAGGAAGTCTGGCAGCTGGAGAGGGCGGGGAGAGGCAGGAGCTGGGCCGGCGGAGGCCGACTGGGCGAGCCGAAGCCAAGACGGAGGCCACTCGGGAGGCAGGAGCGAGCCCTGATAGGCCGAAGCCGAGGCCAGCGTGCCTGCAGAGGCCGAGGAGGAGTGGGATCGAGAGGCTGACTCTGAGGAGGTCTGGCAGCTGGAGAGGCCGAGAGAGGCAGAGCTGGGCCGGCGGAAGCCGACCAAGCGACGAGCACCACTGCAGGGGCCGGGAGCAGGAGCGAGCTCCCGGGAGAGGCCGGTAGTCGAGGCCAGCCTGGCCTGTGAGTCCGGGAGGAGGAGCTGGGCCTGGAGAGGCTGTCTGAAGGAAGTCTGGGGCATGGAGACGCGCAGGGCAGTGAGCTGGCCCGGGAGAGGCCACCGTGGGGCCTCAAGCCAGGACGTTGGGGCCTAAGCAAAGGCCGCGGAGAGGGAGCTGGGCCGAGCCGAGTCCAAAGAGGTTGTCGGGAGGCCGAGACTGCCTGCGGCCGCAGCAGGAGCAGAACGAGCTGGGCCTGGACACGAGGCCGGGAGGCCGCAACGGGCCTGGAGAGGCCGGACTGAGGAGGTTCGGGCCTGGAGAGGCCGCCGAAAGGCAAAGGCTGGGCCTGGAAGCAGGCCGCTCCCGTGACGAATGAGTTGGGCCTAATGAGGCCACTGGGAGTCAGGAGGAGAGTATGGCGGAGCTGCCGAAAGGCAAGAGGAGCCTCCGCCTGGGGAGGCCGCAGTCAGGCGAGAGCTGGGCGTGGGACAGTCCACTGTGAGGCAGAGGCCCGTGCAGGCCTTCGCGAGGCAGGAGGCTGGGCCTGGCGAGGCCGACCGGAGGTCAAGTCCTGGGCCTGAGGAGGTCGCCCAGAGGCGTGATCGGGCTGGGCCTCCAGAGGTCAGTGGCAGGCCGGGAGGAGCTGGGCCTGGAGAGCCTGACCTGAGGAAGTCTGGCAGCTGGAGAGGGCGTGGAGAGGCAGGAGCTGGGCCGGCGGAGGCCGACGGGGCGACGAGCACGGCCTGCAGGCCGCCGGGAGCAGGAGCGAGCCTGGAGAGGCCGAGAGTCGAGGTCTCGCGCGTGGCCTGCAGAGAGGCCGGGCGGGAGGAGGAGCGGGGACCGGAGAGGCTGACTCTGAGGAAGTCTGGGCAGCTGGAGAGGCCGAGGAGAGGCAGGAGCTGGGCCGGCGAGTCACCGGGCGACGAGCACGACCTGCAGGGGCCGCCGGGAGCAGGAGCGAGCCCTGGAGAGGCCGAGTCGAGGCCAGCCTGGGTCTGCAGAGTCCGCCGGGAGGAGGAGCTGGCCCGAGAGGCTGTCTGAAGGGAAGTCTGGGGCATGGGAGACGCCTGGAGGGTGAGCCGGGCCCGAGAGGCCACCGTAAATCTCGGCCAGGACGCTTGGGGCCTAAGCAAAGGCCGCTGGAGAGGGAGCTGGGCCGAGCCGAAGTCCAAAGAGGTTGTCGTGGAGGTCGGAGATCGCCTGCGGCCGCAGGCAGGAGCAGAACGAGCTGGCCCTGGACACAGGCCGGGAGGCCGCAACTGGGCCTGGAGAGGTCGACTGAGGAGGTTCGGGCCTGGAGAGGCCGAAAGGTGGAAAGGCTGGGCCTGGAGAGGCTGCCTCTCGTGACTAATGAGTTGGGCCTACCGAGGCCACTCTCTGGGAGTCAGGAGGAGACATGGAGCTGCCGAAAGGCAAGAGGAGCTCTGGCCTGGGGAGGCCGCAGAGTTGCGAGAGCGGGCGTGGACAGTCCACTGCGGGAGGCAGAGGCTGGCCCGTGCAGGCCCTCGCGAGGCAGGAGGCTGGGCCTGGCGAGGCCGACCGGAGGTCAAGTCCTGGGCCTGAGGAGGTCACCCAGAGGCGTGATCGGGGCTGGGCCTCCAGAGGCCAGTGGCAGGCCGGGAGGAGCTAGCCTGAGACTGTCTGAAGGGAAGTCTGGGGCATGGAGATTGCTGGAGGGCAGGAGCGGGGGCCCGGAGAGGCGCCACCGTGGGGCCCGGCTTCAGGACGCTTGGGGCCCAGCGTCGCTGGAGAGGAGCTGGGCCGGAGCCGAGTCCAAAGAGGTTGTCGTGAGGCCGGAGATGGGCTCGCGGCCGCAGCAGGAGCAGAACGAGCTGGGCCTGGACACGAGGCCGGGAGGCCGCAACTGGGCCTGGAGAGGCCGGAGCTGAGGAGGCTGGGCCTGGAGAGGCCGCCGAAAGGCAAAGGCTGGGCCTGGAGAGGCCGCTCCCCGTGACGAATGAGTTGGGCCTAATGAGGCCACTGGGAGCCAGGAGGAGAGCATGGCGGAGCTGCCGAAAGGCAAGAGGAGCTCTGACCTGGGGAGGCCGCAGTCAGGCGAGAGCTGGGCGTGGACAGTCCACTGTGGGCAGAGGCTGGGCCCGTGCAGGCCTTCGCGAGGCAGGAGGTTGGCTCATGAGGCCACCGGAGGTCAACCCTGGGCCTGGAGGAGGTCGCCCAGAGGCGTGATCGGGGCTGGGCCTCCAGAGGCCAGTGGCAGGCCGGAGGAGAGTTGGCCTGGAGAGCTGGACCTGAGGAAGTCTGGCAGCTGGAGAGGGCGGGAGAGGCAGGAGCTGGGCCGGGCGGAGGCCGACTGGGCGACGAGCACGCCTGCAGGCCGCCGGGAGCAGGAGCGAGCCCTGGAGAGGCCGAGTCGAGGCTGGCCTGCAGAGGCCGGGAGGAGGAGCGGGGACCGGAGAGGCTGACCTGAGGAAGTCTGGCAGCTGGAGAGGCCGAGAGAGGCAGGAGCTAAGCCGCAAAGCCTACTGCGACGAGCACCTGCAGGGGGCCGCCGAGCAGGAGCGAGCCCTGAGAGCGAGCCGAGCCAGCCTGGGCTTGCAGAGTCCGCCGGGAGGAGAGCTACCTGAGAGGCTGTCTGAAGGAAGTCTGGGGCATGGAGACGCCATGGAGGGCAGGAGCCGGGCCCGGGAGAGGCCACCGTGGGGCCCGCCGGCTTCAGGACGCTTGGGCCTACAGCCGCGGAGAGGGAGCTGGGCCGAGCCGAGTCCAAAGAGGTTGTCGTGAGGTCGAGACTGCCTGCGGCCGCAGCAGGAGCAGAACGCAGCTGGGCCTGACACCAGGCCGGGAGGCTTAACTGGGCCTGGAGAGGCCGGACGAGGAGGTCTGGGGCCTGGAGAGGCCGAAGGCAAAGGCTGGGCCTGGAGAGGCCGTCGTGGGATTTAATGAGTTGGGCCTAATGAGGCCACTGGGAGTCAGGGGGAGAGCATGGCGGAGCTGCCAAAGGCAAGAGGAGCTCTGGGCCTGGGAGGCCGCAGTCAGGCGAGAGCTGGGCGTGGACAGTCCACTGTGAGGCAGAGGCTGGGCCCGCGCAGGCCTTCGCGAGGCAGAGGCTGCCTGGCGAGGCCGACCGAGGTCAAGTCCCTGCCTGAGGAGGTCGCCCAGAGGCGTGATCGGGGCTGGGCCTCAAGAGGCCAGTGGCAGGCCGGAGGAGCTTGGCCTGGAGAGGCTGACCTGAGGAAGTCTGGCAGCTGAGGAGGGCGTGGAGAGGCAGGAGCTGGGCCGGGCGGAGGCCGACTGGGCGACGAGCACCACTTGGTGGGGCCGCCGAGCAGGAGCGAGCCTCTGAGAGGCCGAGCCGAGGCCAGCGTGGACACCTGCAGAGGCCGGCGGGAGGAGTGCGAGTGGGACCGGAGAGGCTGACCTGAGGAAGTCTGGCAGCTGAGAGGCCGAGGAGAGGCAGGAGCTGCCGCGGGAAGCCGGGACACACGAGCACGGGACATCTGCAGGGGCTGGAGCAGGAGCGAGCCCTGAGAGGCGAGTCGAGGTCAGCCTGGGTCTGCAGAGTCCGCCGGGAGGAGGAGCTGGGCCTGGAGAGGCTGTCTGAAGGAAGTCTGGGGCATGGAGACGCTGGGAGGGCAGGAGCCGCGCCCGGAGAGGCCACCGTGGGGCCCGGCTTCAGGACGTTTGGGGCCTGCAAAGGCCGCGGAGAGGAGCTGGGCCGGAGCGAACCAAAGAGGTTGTCGTGAGGTCGAGACAACCAAGGCCGAGCAGGAGCAGAAACGGCTGGGCCTGGACACGAGGCCGGGAGGTTTAACTGGGCCTGGAGAGGCCGGGATTGAGGAGGTTCGGGCCTGGAGGAGGCCGGGCCGAAAGGTAAAGGCTGGGCCTGGAGGCCGCTCTGACGCAATGAGTTGGGCCTAATGAGGCCACTGGGAGTCAGGAGGAGAGCATGGCGGAGCTGCCGAAGGCAAGAGGAGCCTGGCCTGGGAGGCCGCAGCCGGGGCGAGAGCTGGGCGGTGGACAGTCCACTGTGAGGCAGAGGTTGGCCCGTGCAGGCTCGCGAGGCAGTGTGAGGCTGGGCCTGGCGAGGCCGACCGGAGGTCAAGTCCTGGGCCTGAGGAGGTCACCCAGAGGCGTGATCGGGGCTGGGCCTCCAGAGGCCAGTGGCAGGCCGGAGGTGAGCTGGGCCTGGAGAGGTCTGAAGGAAGTCTGGGGCATGGAGACGCCAGGTTGGAGGGAGGCAGTGAGCCGGGTTCGGGAGAGGCCACCGTGGGGCCCGGCTTCAGGACGTTTGGGGGCCTGCAAGGCCGCGGAGAGGGAGCTGGGCGGGAGCCGAGTCCAAAGAGGTTGTCGTGAGGCCGGAGATCGGCTCAGGCCGCAGCAGGAGCAGAACGAGCTGGGCCTGGACACGAGGCCGGGAGGCCGCAACTGGGCCTGGAGAGGCCGGGACTGAGGAGGTTCGGGCCTGGAGAGGCCGCCTCAAAGGCAAAGGCTGGGCTCTGGAGAGGCCGTCTCTCGTGATTTAATGAGTTGGGCCTAATGAGGCCACTGGGAGTCAGGAGGAGAGTATGGGCGGAGCTGGGCCAAAGGCAGAGAGTCGGCCTGGGAGGCGCAGTCAGGCGAGCTGGGCGTGGACAGTCCACTGTGAGGCAGAGGCTGGGTCCGTGCAGGCCTTCGCGAGGCAGGAGGCTGGGCCTGGCGAGGCCGACCGGAGGTCAAGTCCTGGGCCTGAGGAGGCCGCCCAGAGGCGTGATCGGGGCTGGGCCTCCAGAGGCCAGTGGCAGGCCGGGAGGAGCTTGGGCCTGAGAGCTGACCTGAGGGAAGTCTGGCAGCTGGAGAGGGCGTGGAGAGGCAGGACAATGCCATGGAGGCCGATCACACGAGCACGACTTGAAGCCGCCGGGAGCAGGAGCGAGCCTGAGAGGCTGAGGTCGAGGCCAGCGTGGCCTGCAGAGGCCGGGAGGAGGAGTTGGACCGGGAGAGGCTGACCTGAGGAAGTCTGGCAGCTGGAGAGGCCGAGGAGAGGTAGGAGCTGGGCTGGCGGAAGCCGATTGGCGACGAGCACGACACCGTGGGGCCGGAGCAGGAGCGAGGCCCTGGAGAGGTGCCGAGTCGAAGCCAGCCTGGGTCTGCAGAGTCCGCCGGGAGGAGGAGCTGGGCCTGGAGAGGCTGTCTGAAGGAAGTCTGGGCATGGAGACGCTCGTTGAGGCAGGAGCCGGGCCCGAGAGGCCACCGTGGGGCCCGGCTTCAGGACGTTGGGGTCACAAAGGCCGCGGAGAGGGAGCTGGGCCGGAGCCGAGTCCAAAGAGGTTGTCGTGAGGCCGGAGACGCCTGCGGCCGCAGCAGGAGCAGAACGCAGCTGGCCTGACACGAGGCCGGGAGGCCGCAACTGGGCCTGGAGAGGCCGGATTGAGGAGGTTCGGGGCCTGGAGAGGCCGCCGAAAGGCAAAGGTTGGGCCTGGAGAGGCCGTTCTCTCGTGGATTTTAATGGGAGTTGGGCCTAATGAGGCCACTGGGAGTCAGGAGGAGAGACATGGAGCTGCGAAAGGCAAGAGGAGCTCTGGCTCCGGGAGGCCGCAGTCAGGCGAGAGCTGGGGCGGGACAGTCCACTGTGAGGCAGAGGCTGGGCCCGTGCAGGCTCTCGCGAGCAGGAGGCTGGGCTCTGGCGAGGCCGACCGGAGGCCACGTCCTGGGCCTGAGGAGGTCGCCCAGAAGCGGACGGGGCTGGGGCCTCCAGAGGCCAGTGGCAATGGGAGGAGTTGCCTGGAGAGGCTGACCTGAGGAAGTCTGCAGCTGGAGAGGGCGTGAGAGGGCAGGAGCTGGGCCGGGCGGAGGCCGACTGGCGACGAGCACGGCCTGCAGGGGCCGGGCTGAGCAGGAGCGAGGCCCCTGGAGAGGCCGGTAGTCGAAGCCAGCGTACGCCTGCAGAGGCCGCCGGGAGGGAGGAGTGGGGACCGGAGAGCTGAACTGAGGAAGTCTGGCAGCTGGAGAGGCCGAGGAGAGGCAGGAGCTGGGCCGGGCGGAGCCGACTGGGCGACTTCCAGCACCGCCTGCAGTGGGCCGAGCAGGAGCGAGCCCTGGAGAGGCCGAGCCGAGGCCAGCCTGGGTCTGGGCAGAGTCCACGGGAGAGAGCTGGGCTCAAGAGGCTGTCTGGAAGGAAGTTCTGGGGCATGGAGACCGCTGGGAGGCGGAGCCGGCCCGGAGAGGCTACCGCGGCCCGGCTTCAGGACGTTTAGCTGGCAAAGGGCCGCTGAGAGGGAGTTGGGCTGGTTTCAGTCCAAAGAGGTCGGGAGGCTGAGACGCTTCGCGCCGCAGCAGGAGTAGAATGAAGGTTTGGACACGAGGCCGGAGGCCGAACTGGGCTCTGGAGAGGCCGGATTGAGGAGGTTCGGGCCTGAGAGGCCGCCAGCAAGGGGCAGGCTTGAGAGGCTGCTCGGGTGACGACGAGTTGGGTCAATGTGAGGCTATTGAGCCAGAGGAGAGCATATGAGTTGCCGAAAAGGTAAGAGGAGCTCTGCCTGGGGAGGCCGTGCAGTCAGGCGAGAGCTGGGCGGGACAGTCCACTGTGAGGCAGAGGCTGGGTCTCGTGCAGGCCTTCGCGAGGCAGGAGGCTGCCTGGCGAGGCCGACTCCGAGGTCAAGTCCTGGGCCTGAGGAGGCACGCCCAGAGGCGGATCGGGGCTGCCTCCAGAGGCCAGTGGCAGGCCGGAGGAGTTGGGCCTGGAGAGGCTGACCTGAGGAAGTCTGGCAGCTGGGAGAGGGCGTGGGAGAGGCAGGAGCTGGGCTGGCGAGGCCGATTGGGCGAGCCGAGCACGCACTGCAGGGCCGCCGGGCAGGAGCGAGCCTCTGGAGAGGCCGAGTCGAGGCCAGCGGCCTGCAGAGGCCGAGGAGGAGCGGGACCGGAGAGGCTGACCTGAGGAAGTCTGGGCAGCTGAGGCCGAGGAGAGAGGAGCTGGGCCAAGTGAAGCTGATTGGTTACTTGGCACGGCCTGCAGGCCGCTGAGCAGGAGCGAGCCTTGAGAGGCCGAAGCCAGGCCAGCCTGGCCTGCAGAGTCCGCGAGGAGGAGCTGGGCTTGAGAGGCTGTCTGGAAGGAAGTCTGGGCATGGAGACGCCGTTGGAGGGCAGGAGCTGCCCGGAGAGGCCACCGTGGGGCCCAAGCCAGGACGTTGGGGCCTACAAAGGCCGCGGAGGGAGCTGGGCCGAGCGAGTCCAAAGAGGTTGTCGTGAGGCCGAGACGGCTCGCGCCGCAGCAGGAGCAGAACGAGCTGGCCTGGACACGGCGGGGCCGAGGCCGCAACTGGGCCCTGAGAGGCCGGACTGAGGAGGTTCGGGCCTGGAGAGGCCGCCGAAAGGCAAAGGCTGGGCCTGGAGAGGCCGCTCCCCGTGACGAATGAGTTGGGCCTAATGAGGCTACTGGGAGTCAGGAGGAGAGCATGCATGGAGCTGCCGAAAGGCAAGAGGAGCCTGGCCTGGGAGGCCGCATTGGGCGAGAGCTGGGCGTGGACAGTCCACTGTGAGCAGAGGTTGGGCCCGGTGGCAGGCTCACAGGCAGGAGGCTGGGCCTGGCGAGGCCGACCGGAGGTCAAGTCCTGGGCCTGAGGAGGTCGCCCAGAGGCGTGATCGGGCTGGGCCTCCAGAGGCCAGCAGGCCGAGGAGCTGGGCCTGGAGAGGCTGACCTGAGGAAGTCTGGCAGCTGGAGAGGGCGGGAGAGGCAGGAGCTGGGCCGGGCGGGAGGCCGAGACTGGGCGACGAGCGCACGACCTGCAGGGGCCGGGAGCAGGAGCGAGCCCTGAGAGGTCGTGGAAGTCGAGGCCAGCGCGGCCTGCAGAGGCCGGGAGGAGGAGAGCTGGGACCGGAGAGTTGACCTGGAGGAAGTCTGGCAGCTGAGGCCGAGGAGAGGTAGAGCTGGGCCGGGCGGAAGCCGACTGGGCGACGAGCACCCTGCAGGCCGCCGAGCAGGAGCGAGCCCTGGAGAGGCCGAGGCCGAGGCCAGCCTGGGTCTGCAGAGTCGGCCGGGAGGAGGAGCTGGGCCTGGAGAGGCTGTCTGAAGGGAAGTCTGGGGTATGGAGACGCTCGTTGAGGGCAGGAGCCGGGCTCGGGAGAGGCCACCGTGGGGCCCAAGCTTCAGGACGTTTGGGGCCTACAAAGGCCGCCGGAGAGGAGTTGGCCGGAGCGAGTCCAAAGAGGTTGTCGGGAGGTCGAGATCACCTGCGTCGCAGCAGTGAGCAGAACGAGCTGGGCCTGGACACGCAGGCCGGGAGGCCGCAACTGGGCCTGGAGAGGCCGGACTGGAGGCCCGGGCCTGGAGAGGCCAGCTGGGCAGCGCTGGGCCTGGAGAGGCCGCTCCCGTGACGAATGAGTTGGGCCTAATGAGGCCACTGGGAGTCAGAGGAGAGCATGGCGGAGCTGCCGAAAGGCAAGAGAGCCTGGCCTGGGGAGGCCGCAGAGTCAAGCGAGCTGGGCATGTCCATTGTGAGGCAGAGCGGCTCCGTGCAGGCCTTCGCGAGGCAGGAGGCTGGGCCTGGCGAGGCCGACCGGAGGTCAAGTCCTGGGCCTGAGGAGGGCGCCCAGAGGCGTGATCGGGGCTGGGCCTCCAGAGGCCAGTGGCAGGCCGGAGGAGTTGCCTGGAGAGGTTGACCTGAGGAAGTCTGGTAGCTGGGAGAGGGCGGGAGGCAGAGGGGAGCTGGCCGGGCGGAGGCCGATCAGACGAGCACGCCCCGTGGGGCCGCCGGGAGCAGGAGCGAGCCTCGGAGGCCTCGAAGCCGAGGCCAGCGTGGGCCTGCAGAGGCCGCCGGGAGGAGGAGCGGGGACCGAGGAGGCTGACCTGAGGAAGTCGGGCAGCTGGAGAGGCCGAGGAGAGGCAGGAGCTGGGCCGGGCGGAAGCCGACTGGGCGACGAGCACGGACCTGCAGGGGCCGCCGGGCAGGAGCGCCCTGGAGAGCCGAAGCCGAGGCCAGCCTGGGTCTGCAGAAAGTCCGCCGGGAGGAGGGAGCTGGGCCTGGAGAGGCTGTCTGAAGGGAAGTCTGGGGCATGGAGACGCCGTTGGAGTGGCAGGAGCGGCCCGGAGAGGCCACCGTGGGGCTCAAGCCAGGACGCTTAGCCTGCAGAAGGCTGGCGGAGAGGGAGTTGGGTTGAGCGAGTCCAAGAGGTTGTCGTGAGGCCGAGATTGCCTGCGGCCGCAGCAGGAGCAGAACGAGCTGGGCCTGGACACGAGGCCGGAGGCCGCAACTGGGCCTGGAGAGGCCGGGACTTCAGGAGGTTCGGCCTGGAGAGGCCGAGCAAAGGCTGGGCCTGAGAGGCCGTTCCCGGGCGGATCTTAATGAGTTGGGCCTAATGAGGCCACTGGGAGTCAGGAGGAGAGCATGGCGGAGCTGCCGAAAGGCAAGAGGAGCTCTGGCCTGGGAGGCCGCAGTCAGGCGAGAGCTGGGCGTGACAGTCCACTGTGAGGTAGCAGAGGCTGGGCCCGTGCAGGTCATGAGGCAGGAGGCTGGCCTGGCGAGGCCGACCGGAGGTCAAGTCCTGGGCTGAGGAGGTCGCCCAGAGGCGCACGGGCTGGGCCTCCCAGGAGGCCAGGTGGCAGGCCGGAGGAGTTGGGCCTGGAGAGGCTGACCTGAGGAAGTCTGGCAGCTGGAGAGGGCGTGGAGAGGGGCAGGAGCTGGGCCGGGCGGAGGCCGATTGGCGCCCAGGCACGGGCCCAGGGGCCGCCGAGCAGGAGTGAGCCCCGAGAGGCCGAGGCCGAGGCCAGCGTGGGCCTGCAGAGGCCGGGAGGAGGAGCGGGACCGGAGAGGCTGACTTGAGGAAGTCTGGCAGCTGGAGGCCGAGGAGAGGCAGGAGCCGGGGGCCGGGCGGAAGCCGACTGGGCGACGAGCACGCCTGCAGGCCGCCGGGAGCAGTGAGCAGCCCTGAGAGGCCGAAGCCGAGGCCAGCCTGGGTCTGCAGAGCCCTCGCCGAGGAGGAGCTGGGCCTGGAGAGGCTGTCTGAAGGAAGTCTGGGGCATGGAGACGCCTCGTTGAGTGGCAGGAGCCGGGCCCGAGAGAGGCCACCGTGGGGCCCGGCTTCAGGACGCTTAGCCTACAAAGGCCGCGGAGAGGGAGCTGGGCCGAGCCGAGTCCAAAGAGGTTGTCGTGAGGCCGAGACGGCCTGCGGCCGGCAGCAGGAGCAGAACGAGCTGGGCCTGGACACGAGGCCGGGAGGCCGCAACTGGGCCTGGAGAGGCCGGGATTCAGGAGGTCGGGGGCCTGGAGAGGCCGCCAGTGGCAAAGGCCTTGAGAGGCCGTTCCCGTGATTTAATGAGTTGGGTCAATGAGGCCACTGGGAGCCAGGAGAGACATGGCGGAGCTGCCGAAAGGCAAGAGGAGCTCTGGCCTGGAGAGGCCGCAGTCAGGCGAGAGCTGGGCGTGGACAGTCCACTGTGAGGCAGAGGCTGGGCCCGTGTGGTGGCCTTCGCGAGGCAGGAGGCTGGCCTGGCGAGGCCGACCGGAGGTCAAGTCCTGGGCCTGAGGAGGTCGCCCAGAGGCGTGATCGGGCTGGGGCCTCCAGAGGCCAGTGGCAGGCCGGGAGGAGCTGGCCTGGAGAGGCTGACCTGAGGAAGTCTGGGCAGCTGGAGAGGGCGTGGGAGAGGCAGGGAGCTGGGCCGGGCGTGAGGCCGACTGGGCGACGAGCACGGCCTGCAGGGCCGCCGGGAGCAGGAGCGAGCCCTGGAGAGGCCGAGCCGAGGCCAGCGTGGGCCTGCAGAGGCCGCCGGGAGGAGGAGCGGGGACTGGAGAGGTTGACCTGAGGAAGTCTGGCAGCTGGAGAGGCCGAGGAGAGGCAGAGCTGGGCCGGCGGAAGCCGATTGGGCGACGAGCACGGCCTGCAGGGGCCGCCGAGCAGGAGCGAGCCTGGAGAGGCGAGCCGAGCCACAGCCTGGCTCCGCAGAGTCCGCCGGGAGGAGGAGCTGGGCCTGGAGAGGCTGTCTGAAGGAAGTCTGGGGCATGGAGACGCTGAGGGCAGGAGCCGGGCCCGAGAGGCCACCGTGGCCCGGCCAGGACGCTTGGGGCCTACAAAGGCCGCGTGGAGGGAGCTGGGCCGAGCCGAGTCCAAAGAGGCTGTCGAGGTCGTGGAGGACGCCTGCGGTTCTAGGCAGGAGCAGAAACGAGCTGGGCCTTGACACGAGGCCGGGAGGCCGCAACTGGGCCTGGAGAGGCCGGATTCAGGAGGTTCGGGGCCTGGAGAGGCCGAGCAAAGGCTGGGCCTGGAGAGGCCGTTCCCCGTGACGAATGAGCTGGGCCTAGCAGGCTACTCGGGAGTCAGGAGGAGAGCATGGCGGAGCTGCCGAAGGCAAGAGGAGCTCTGGCCTGGGGAGGCCGCAGTCAGGCGCGAGCTGGGCGTGGACAGTCCACTGTGAGGCAGAGGCTGGGTCTGCAGGCCTTCGCGAGGCAGGAGGCTGGCCTGGCGAGGCCGACCGGGAGGTCAAGTCCTGGGCCTGGAGGAGGCTCCCAGAGGCGTGACCGGCTGGGGCCTCCAGAGGCCAGTGGCAGGCCGGGAGGAGCTGGCCTGGAGAGGCTGACCTGAGGAAGTCTGGCAGCTGGAGAGGGCGTGGAGAGGCAGGAGCTGGGCCGGGCGAGTCGATTGGGCGACGAGCACGGCCTGCAGGGGCCGCCGAGCAGGAGCGAGCCCTGGAGAGGCCGAAGCCGAGCCAGCGTGGGCCTGCAGAGCGCCGGGAGGGGAGGAGCGGGGACCGGAGAGGCTGACCTGAGGAAGTCTGGCAGCTGGAGAGGCCGAGGAGAGGCAGGAGCAGCCGCGAAGCCGACACGACGAAATGCCTGCAGGCTGGAGCAGGAGCGAGCTCCGAGAGGCCGGTAGCCGAGGCCAGCTCTGGTCTGCAGAGTCCGCCGGGAGGAGGAGCTGGGCCTGGAGAGGTTGCCTGAAGGAAGTCTGGGGCATGGAGACGCCTGAGGGTGCAGTGAGCGGGCCCGGGAGAGGCCATCGGGGCCCGGCTTCAGGACGTTGGGGCCTAAGCAAAGGCCGCGGAGAGGGAGCTGGGCCGAGCCGAGTCCAAGAGGTTGTCGGGAGGCCGAGACCGGCCCAAGGCCGCAGCAGGAGCAGAACGAGCTGGGCCTGGGACACGAGGCCGGGAGGCCGCAACTGGGCCTGGGAGAGGCCGGGACTTCAGAGGTCTCGGGCCTGGAGGAGGCCGAAAGGCAAAGGCTGGGCCTGAGAGGCCGCTCCCCTCGTGACGAATGAGTTGGGCCTAATGAGGCCACTGGGAGTCAGGAGGAGAGCATGGCGAGCCGCCGGGAAGGCAAGAGGAGCTCTGGCCTGGGAGGCCGCAGTCAGGCGAGAGCTGGCGTGACAGTCCACTGTGAGGCAGAGGCTGGGCCCGTGCAGGCTCGCGAGGCAGGAGGCTGGCCTGGCGAGGCCGACCGAGGTCAAGTCCTGGCCTGGAGGAGGTCGCCCAGAGGCGTGATCGGGGCTGGGCCTTTCAGAGGCCAGTGGCAGGCTGGAGGAGCTGGGCCTGGAGAGGCTGACCTGGAGGAAGTCTGGCAGCTGGAGAGGCGTGGAGGCAGGAGCTGGGCCGGCGGAGGCCGTACTGGGCGAGCCAGCACGGGCCTGCAGGCCGCCGAGCCAGGAGTGAGCCCTGGAGAGGCCGAGTCGAGACAGCGTGGCCTGCAGAGGCCGCCGGAGAGGAGCGGGACCGGAGAGGCTGACCTGAGGAAGTCTGGCAG